AGGAGAGGAGGAAGAAGGTTTCAGTTAAGATAGCCTCATTCGTACTGACAGAACATCCCAGATTTGGTCCATGCTAACACAATYTTTCTAGAGGCTCATTAAACCCCTTTGTTGCACACAAAGTATGGAGTAGCTCACATCTCTAGAGAGCAGTCCTAGAATTAACCATTTGCATGCCCGAGGAAGCTGTGAGGAGTGTGCTCCTGGGAGCACAGAGGCAGGCCACAGAAGCTGGGTGGATCCTGATCCAGGTCTGGAACACTGGAGCTCAAGGGAGTTTGAGGATGAGTCAAGCACGAGTTTGCCCAGGGGGTTCCTGTCACTGCAGGCTCTGGAGCCCTTGGTATGCAGGSGACAGGAGATGCTTGTCTCACTCACTCTTTGAGCTCCAGCCTAGTTCAATTTGCCTTTTTTGAGAGGTCTGCCAATGTAATTGCCCATGTCTGAGATCTGTCCCTTGCTCTTGATTTGATCCTTATGTTTTAAACTGGCATAGTGATGAGGACCACATCAATGCACACAGTTAATAACCCATCCTATATTAAGACAAGAGAAGCAAATGAGGGATTTGAGGGAATCTAAATGCTTGTTATGTCTCCTCCTTTAAGAACTGATCTCCAACTCAGAGAATATTGCTTCAACAGTCAGAAGAGCTAAAGATCAAAACATTACAAAGTCATAATGAWGATGAATTCTAATGGAGAGATAGACATAGGCTGATATGCTAATATACCTGTTTAACTAGATAGATATTAATGTTGATGACCAGTTTATAAATGTATTTGGATCTACATTTGTCATTTTGCTGTATGTTAAGAATTTGATTATTATTGTATCAAATCCTTCAAAAAGCTGTTGCTAAGCACAGCTCCAAACTCCCCGGCTTGCTAAGTGGCAGTTCAGACACATACAAAATATTGCAATTTATTATTACRAATTTTTATCCTTAATTACAACAGTACTGACTTTTCATAATTATCAATCTCATCACTGGGCATGACACATATAAATTACTAGTATTAATATTTTTCAGAGTACCATTTACGGGTTGAAGTCAGCAAATTTAGATTGTACCTGGAGACCTTGTATTTTGCTCTTTTTCCTCAAACSAATGTGAACTCCCTAAAAAATCAACTTCTAGCTTGCAAGAATGATTGTGACATTAAATATGGGTTGAATACTGAACTGACTAGAAACAACAAATTAAAAATTTGAGCTTCAGCTTACAACATGCAGAGCATTGGTACTTCCTAGAGAGTTCAGGTTCTCTTGGGGATGCAGATCCTCTGCAATATACTTTGGAATAATCATTTGTCCCCCCAGATAAGAGCTGGCAGGTCTGCCAATGTGARTTGAAGACACTCCATGGCCTACACKTGGTGGCAAACACCTAAAAAGGAAMMATTTCATACTCTGCTGCCACATCTGGAGCASTGTGTCCAGTCTGGGYCCCACAGTACAAGAGACATGGAACTCCTGGAGCGGGTCCAATGGAGGGCTACAGGGACAATCAGGGGATTGGAGCATCTCTCTTACAAGGACTGGAAGAGRGAACTGGKTCTGTTCAGCCTGGAGATGAGAAGGCTGAGAGGGGATTTCATCARTGTATCTGTACTTACATATCTGAAGGGGGTTGCCACGACAATGGAGCCAGGATCTCCTTGCTGGCTCCAAGCATTGGGATGAGAGGCAACAGGCAGAATCTAATGCACTGCAAGTTCTACCTGAATATGTGGAAGAACTTTACTGCGTGGGTGTCTGAGTACTGGAACAGATTTCCCAGAGACRTTCTGGAGTCTTTTCACTGCAGATATCCAAAAGCTATCTGCACACAACCCTGAGTAATGTGTTCTGGGAAATCCTACATGAGCAGGGAATTTGGACCAGATAATCCCACCAGTTGTACTTTCAAACCTTACCMATTCTGTGGTTCTGTAATTCTGTGATCTTGTAGGAATACAARTAAGTCTTCTGAGATAACCTTGTCTCTGAAGAAAATTTTCCATTTTCATCTTTAACCACAGTGCACAAAGCTAAAATAYGTAGCTTTCTTGTAACAGATACTTTTGACATCTTGTCATTACTCCAGCACAATTTATTATGAAGCTAATCTCTTTTTCAGAGTATCTTCCTTTTTTGTCCTGATTATAGGCTGGTACCTTGCATTACTGGTAGCCATTCAGAATCTAGACACATTCTGARTAACCTGAAAAGATTTATTTGTTCTTTATCCTTGTGGTGTAGATGGCTGGTAGTTTCATGAAGAGTCAAAGCATGCGTTAACAAGAGTGACTTGCTTGAGGCCACAAAAAGTCTGCAACAAAACTGGATCACACTTGCTTTGAGGGACAAACCCAGAAATCACCCCTGGTGATATGAAGGCAGTTCATGTGAGAATAAAGAGAATAAAAAGAATCAGAGTGACCTGAGGCCTGTGGTCCCATTTGGTCACACAGACCACTTGTTTGTTGGCTAATCTTGTTTGAAGTTCAATGGTGTTCACACAAATCCCCTCAAAAGTGATAGTGCACCTACACGTAAGATAGCTAAAAACAGGATTTAATTAGAATATAGGATAGGCTGTGGTGGTCAAACACAGGACACAGCTAGATCTGGCCAGCCCCTTTCATCCTTTTTCCTTATTTTCCCATGTTTTTTCCTCCTCAATCCACCTCAAGGATTTCTTTCTTTCTCCCTTACGGTAAGTCTCACAGGTTCCCAAAATGCTGTTACCATTGCATCCTTTCATGCATCCTACACCATAGGCAATAATCACCTTTAGTTTGCAAGGCATCTGGGAGATAGTTTCTTGGCAGACTTCACACCAGGTAACAAGGTTTAATCAGCTTTCTCTGAAGTGCTTAGGAGCAGCCAGTGTTGGTCCATTTTCCCTRATGAGGTTACTGAAGTTTCTCTGCCTGTCTTTGTTCTCCTGGCATCTTTGGGATTACRCTTTTAATCACGTAACCCAACACCCAAAAGGTAAAGAGGAATCACACTGGASCCTCTATTCTGTGCTGGTTAAGAAACTGAGGTGTACTAAATGCTTTTAGAGAATGAGAGCTTCCCACTTAATCTCTCAGCAAACTAGAAGATCCTGCATTTTGGGAAGTGATAAGGAGTCTCCCATCTACCTTGCTTTGCCTCTGAATCTCAATTGCTGCTTGTAGTCAGGGTGAGTAGGCTGGAGTCCTCCAGGTGGTGAGATGGTTATGCTGGGGTGTCACACTGGGGTCCCAGGAAGGAAGGGCAGCAGCTGGGGATGGGTGTCCTGGCAGGCAGAGGAGATTCCTACAGCCACATCCCCATGAGTCAGAAACCACTCCTCCATCTCAAACCCCCTTCTGGAAACTAGCTCCCAAGCTGAATTTTGTGTGTGAATTAGCTATCAGGGGTTAAGATACCCCTGAAAAACTAACAGAACCTAGATCTAAGTATTAAAATAGAAGACTTTTTTTTAATAAAAAAATTAATTCATCCTGCCAAATGCTGTGGAATCCTTATCAGTAAATCTCCTCAAGCTCCTCTGAGTAYGTTAAACATGAATTGTAAGAATTCWGCTTGAAACAGTATTATTGTGCAGATTAGCTGAGCAGTTTTAGAAATCATCTGGCAGCTTTTTACTGCTATAAACTGGCTTTAATTCTTAGCTAAAATACCTTCTGCACTAAACCTTCCTCTTCAGCTTTTAAATACATGCTGCAAGCTTTCTAGAGAGTTAAACTTTATTCTATGCACATGCAGATCTACTTATGTAGTTGACACACACACAGGGGAATACTTTACAACCAAAAGKTACCACTTAATGAACCGACCATGATTTTTGCATGAAGACAGAATGGCACAGTAATGTGCGTTTCTTCCTGGTCATCATATACTGAAAAATGTTATTCCTTAAAACAAGGCTCACTCCTGCTCCCATTGAAGCCAAGTTGGATCAGGATTGGGCTCCTAAATTGAAAACACAATGTAAGTTTCCCAAATGCTGGGTTTCAGAGCTTTACTAGGRTAGTAAGCCCCACAGGATGGCTCTGATTTCCMTTTGCACTTGGCTCTTCTCCCTGTACTGGGCACTGGTGAAACCCYRCTTTGAGTACTGTRTCCAGTTCCGGGTCTCTCAGTTCAAGARCAACATTGAGGTGCTGGAGTGTGTCCACAGAAGGGCAACAAAGCTTGTGAAGGGTCTGGGGCACATGTCCTATGAGGAGYGACTGAGAGAGCTGGGATTGTTTACCCTGGCGAAAAGGAGACTCAGGGGAGAACTTACCACTCTCTRCAACTGCCTGAAAGGAAGCTGTAAGCAGGTGGTGGTTGGCCTTTTCTCCCAGGCAGCTAGTGACAGGATGAGAGGACATGGTYTTAAACTGAGCCAGGGGAGGGTTAGGTTGGATATTTGGGTGAATTTCTTCACAGAGTGATTTGACACTGGAATGCACTGCCCAGGGAGGTAGTGGAGTCATTGTCGAGGTGTTTAAGGAAAGACTGGACATGGCACTCAGTGCCCTGGTCTAKTTGACAAGGTGGTGTTTGGTCCTAGGTTACACTTGATGATCTCAGAGGTCTTTTCCAATCTAGTTGATTCTGACTGACTAGCAATGGAAATATCTCTTGTCTTCTACTTATGGAATGAACGTGTATCAGAAGATATAATGGGAGGCTTTTGAGAGCAATATACCCCTTTGTCGGTGCAGAAGGGGTGGAGTGAGCATTTATGCCCCTCGTGAGGACACGGCGTGTCCGCAGGGGTGCAGCTCTGACCCAAACTCTTCCCTGTAAGTGTCCCTAAAGSGCTCCTGCCCACCACTGCACGGCAAGAGGAGAGTCTGTTGTACGACACGCTAATGCCACCGCAACCCGGTCCCCAAAACTGTCCAGAGGTGTCTGATGGCGAGCAGAGCCAAGGAAGACGAGGCGGCGGCAGGCGCGGGTGGGCACGGCGGCCCAGCGGGGCGGGGCGGTGTCAGCACCGCCCCCGGGCCCTCCCCCGGCCGGCCCCCGCCCCGCCGCTCCCCGCCGCTCCCCGCCGCAGGCTCCGTCGGGCCGGACTGGCGGAGCAGCCCCGAAGTTTGCGGGGCGGCCGGCGCGGGGCCATGTGGCTGCTGTGGCTGTTGCTGGGCTCGGCGGGTGAGTGCGGGCGGGGGCGGTGCCCCGGAGCGCTGCCCGGGAGCGAGGGGGCGGCTCCGCTCGGCGGGGGAGGGCGCCGGGGCCTCTCCGCCACCCCCGCCTCCCTGGGCGGCTCTGGCGGGCCGGGGGCGCCGCCGGCCGCCCCTCGCCGGGCTGCTCTCGCCATTCTCCCCTCCGCGGGCGGGCCGGGCCGGGATGCCCACGGCGGGGGCGCGGCGTGTGCGGCTCGGCCCCTCCGCCCCTCGGGGCGTGCTCGGGGTGGTCCCGGCCCCCGCGGGGGTGAGCGGGGCCGGCGTGGGGCGAGGCGCCTGCAGCGGGCAGCGGGGCCGGCTCGGCCTTGGGGTCGGGCTCCCTTGGGCCGAAAGCGGCGTCGAAGTCCCCGCCGGGCCGAAGGGGCCGCGGCTCCGCTGGTACATCCCGGGGCGGGCCCCCTTCTCCTTGGCGAGGCCGCCTCGGGGCGAGGGAGGCCGTGGCGGTGCAGGCGACCCTCCGCCGGTGGGCCCGCGGCGGGGTACGGCCCAGCGGAGCGCTCGGCTCTGCCTGCCTTTWCTTGGGGTGCGGAAAGGGGATTTCATACTTCTTATTCCAATTCATCTAGATAGAAACTCTTTCCCCCTGCCACGGTCGGTATAATGCCTGTCAAAGTCGGCGAACTGATGATGTTTTGTGCAGCTTTGCTGCAGGTGTGAATTATTTCTGCAACATGATCTTAGCGGGCGCTTTTCCAGACAGTGTAAGTAGCCCGACTGCATGCTGCTGTGTCTGTTTCCGAATCACGCCTTGGCGATGAAGTGATGACACGCAGTGTGTAAAACTCAGATTATCAAGCTCATATTATTTTCTTTTCTACTCTTTTAAGAGTATTTGTTGTCATGAAGAGCTGGTAAGTTTCACGGCTTCGATGATRAGTTTCGAGCTTGGTGTAGACGGGTAGGAAGGAGAAGAGTTACACTGTTTTGAAATCACACAACTGCAGACTTTGACATGCATAAGATAAGTCTTATGGAGGTTTAGGTGTCTTTGCAAAACTATTGCTGCAGTTCCTTTTTTGGAAAGCTACAGACAAAGCTCAGGTTTGTTTGTCTGGATTGTGTTGCCTTCTTCCTTGCTAATTTCCATTTTACAACTGCCAAAATTTCATCTAATTATTCACTGCAAGTTATATGTTTCYATGTGTTGAATATATTTGCTTGTAATACCACCCTTAGATAAACGTGGAGGGTTCCCATCTACAAGATACTGATCTTTACATCTGAAGTTTTCCCAGCCACCCACACTGCGTATTCCTGCTCCACCTTGGCTTGGAGGCGGTGACCAAGACCTGTTTCTTGTGTGGAAGTTGGTACTTCAGCTTTTCAACTGCTGACTACCATTCTTGCACAACATTCTTGAAGTTACTTAACCAGAGGCTCTGGCTTACTTTGGGGCAGATTCAAAGAACTTTCTGAAACTTTTTTCTTGTGTGTTCTGTTTTTCTTYTGGAAAATAAAGTAGGGGGTCTTTGGGGATTTGTTTTTTAGATGTTGCTTCCTCTGTATATTTTGGCACCCCTGCAAGCTTCCCACAGGGAGCATTAGTTTGTTTCTGCCTGGCCTTCACTCTGTTTTGAATTTTACTTCTGGTAGCTGCTGAAAACACTTCTTTTCCTATTGAACCTTTTTTTGGGTACAGATGGGAAACCTTGAAACCCTAGGGATGAATTTCAGTTAGCAGAAGATAAACAGCATATAGTGTCTGTGTCTAAACTGTTGTTCTGCTAGCATGCAGAAGTAACTGTTGACTTGGATTGGCAGTGAATATTTGCAATGCAAAGCTGATCTTTTCTTTGCATCTTTAGTCATAATATGGTGGTTGTATCAATTAGTGCTTTTCATCGTGAAAGAGCCTGGATGCATGGGAAAGGTTTTACCTTGTTATGATACATCAAGTGTGAACTTACACCAGGCTGGTTTAATTTCAGTTGGTAACTAATTGGTAATTGATCAGAAAGAGACTATTGATGGGAAGTTTTAGCCTCTGTTCCCTGCACAGGAGCTTCCTGATTACCGTGCTTTCCTTTTCTAGTCCCCACCTCATTTCAAGTCTCGTCAAGCTYTCGGGCAGTGCACACACCATGCACACCCAGTTTCTTTCATCTCTCATGCTCTTGCCAGTATAAGCAGGTCAGGCTCTGCTCCGATCCTCTCCTGCTGCCCTGGACATGTCAYAGTGTGACCCAATTTCCAGCACTTTACTTTGGCTCAGTGTCAGTGCAGGAGTTCCTGGATGTTGGTTAGGTCGTGCAAGGATTCCTGTTTCCAGCTCAGACTTTAACAACATTATCGGGTTAAGTTAATATAGAAGAAGGTCTGTTAGTTGCAAACAGACATCTATGTTTATCTTCTTCTACTGCTTGTATGAAGTAATGCAAGCTGATCTACACAGTTACAGTGAGTTTTGGAAAGGATKGTTTCATAGAATTGCAAGTACACTATAGCTGAAAAACCAATAAAATGTAAACAGTCCCTRACAGAAAAATGTGTTCTGTAATCCTGACTGCCACTGTACTGTGTATTCAAGACATTTTTTCTTTTTAATTCAAGGAAACCTGCATCTACTGAATATGTTTTGAGCATAGATTTGTGTGTTTTTTTCTTCAACCTGTATCTCATCCATTAAGGAAAGAATTTATGGCAGSAGTGACAAACACTGAGGTAAATAAACTGCTTTTAAAAGTATGATTGCAAAGTGAACAGAAAAGTTTTTTCTGCAATTGTAGATCTTCTTGTTTTAACTGAAGTGGGTTTTAAAATGTYAGTCTTCAACTGACTGGAGAATCAAAATGTAGTGCACAGCTGGAATTTCTTGAGTATCATCCCCAGGCAGGCTGCATTATGTAATATCTGCTAACTTAAAACTTCCACATGGTATTAAGGAAATAGCCATAATTTCCTTACATGGGCCTTCATTTGTACATTCAAGAGGAGTTTCTAAGAGTAGAATTTCTTTGCTGAAAACCTTACATAAATCGCCACTGCTGAGTAGTGGTCTCTACTATTGGATAAGCAGAGAGAGAACGTACTTARAGACTCACGTCTGTACTGTGCATTTAGTAGGACTGTTTTATATTTTTCAGGCAGTCCYCTTAAAAAATCTTAAACTGAGTCTAGTGCTTCATAATCAGTGTTTGTCTCTCTTGGTACATAAGCCAGCTGTGGGTGTGGGCAGCACATCATTGTGGAAGAGATGGACAAGGATTCCTGTAATTGGCCGGTCAAGAAACTTCCAACTYGAGACAGTAATAAACAACAAACACTGGATATTTGCTGAAGATGTAAGTCTGCCTGTGGTCATGATGAGAGCAGCCAGGAGTAGTCACTTTAATGCAAAACTCCACAGCCATTCTGAGGAGAATGGCATTTCTTGCAGGAGCCGGCACCCACAGTCAAGTTGTCTTGTCAGTTCCTGGTTGTTGGACATTTCATGTTTGAGGCTGTTGCCAGACTTTAGYCTTGCAAGTACATTTTTTGAGCAGGAACTGAAAGAAGCAGTGGATAATTTGGGGGGGATGTGTCCTTGGCAAGACTTACACGGGTTCCTGTTGCTTGCTGGATATGGGGAATTTCAGGGCCAAGGAGCTTCCTGCTATCCTGTCTCACTTGGGATAATTGCTGCAAAGAGTCCTCAGTTGCCAAGTTGAGAGGGTGGAAGTGTGACTGCAATGTTGCAGTCATATGTTGTGTTAGGAAGTGGAGGTTGTTATAAAAAAGTAGGTAGTRAAAATGCACCTTTCATACAAATGTGAAATAAATTGTTAAAAACATGCAGCCAGTTTGTAGTRCCTGATACCCTGAGACCAGCAAGCTCCATGCCTCTCCAGAGGAAAAAGTTTCCTGGTGGTACTATAATATTCTTGTTGTGACAACCAGAACCTGTGTCCTGCTTTCGTTTGTATGCAGATTATCTACTGAGTGAGGAATAAAATGGCTCCCTTTGTTGTAAATCTGGTAGACTGTAACAGGGACATGTTGATTTGTTAGGTGGCAGTGATGAATTGAGCAGAGGTTGAAGCATCTCTGCGTTTCAGAGCAGTATGAGAAGGCATAATGAAAATTTGTCACCTGGAGAAATAATTTGTTTTGGTTTTTGTTTGTGGTTTTTTGTTTTTTTTTAAATTTTCATTTGTTTTTCCAAACTGGTACATTTTACCAGAGTAGTGTCTGTGATATATCCTGTTCTGTGGTTACTCTCTCTGTCCATGTGAGCAGAAATGCAATAATGGAGTAGGCCTGAAAAATCTGCAGCATGAGTTCTGCTGTGTTGGTAYGAGTGCTTTCCATTTCAGTGTCTTGTCTGTTGTGGAAGCTGATGACTTCTATGAATTGCTAGAAAGGCTTGTAGGCTGTTCAGTTGTCCTACCTGCTGCAGACTGGAGCTGTGGGTATTCTACTTTTGGTACAAGGCACTCTGTGGTAACTATTGCAACTGGCATTTTCAGAATTTGAAAACAGCTTCATTATCAGCTGGCAGGTTTTGAAGATGAGGAAGGAGAAACTCAGTAGTAGGGTTTTGGCGTTTTTGTCTTTTCAGGTATTAAAACACAACTCTTCTGCTTTGGCAGGATCTCATAATGGGCTATGCTAAGATACAGAATGGAACATTTCAAGTGAAAATGTTTTTAATTATGTGTTTTAAGGTAGCYCTCAAGTGAAACATTGAATGACAGACTGCCCTTTGCCTGAAGTGTAAATAGATCATGGCTGGAGGTAATTGTATAGTCAGCCATTAGGATAATCAGTTTATCATACACTYACTGACTGCTATAGAATTTTTGAGGAGTAGTCATACATATTAAAAAACTCAACCCCAACAACAAAGATTAAAAGTTAAGTAGCTTAAGAAAAACAAAAAACATTGGCAGAAAACATTTATTTAAATTAGTTATCTCTGATAGTGAAACTTCTGATTTATATGATCATTGGCATTTTGCATTTGTGTGGACTGAGTGTGTGTCCAGATGC